ATTAAAAACGCAAATCTACGAATATGTGCTTTGATGAACTATGCTTTCTCAAAGCTAGCTTAAAAAAAGCAGGGAAAATGGTTGTCATGCTTTCCCTGGACATCAGCAAAGCCTATGACTGTGTCAACTTGGTTAAGCTTGGTAGAATTCTCTTAAACTTTTCGATTCCTCTTCAAATGCGGCTGTGGATACTTTATTATTTATCCAGGCGTGTGTTGGTGATGGGTACTGAAAAAGTTGAAATATACGGTGGTATCTCAAAAGGCAGTTGTTTAAACCCCATACTCTTCAATCTATACGCAGCTTCTTTGCATGACCTTCAAGATGATAAAACTCATATTTTTCAATATGCAGATAATTTCCGAATTGTATCTGCGGACTCATCTTTTCCAGCAGCTGTCAATAACCTTTCGATGAAAGCGAACTTATTTTTCGATGCATGCGCTGATCTTAATTTATATTTTAACCCCAACAAAACAAATACTATTTATCTTGCCAAACAAATACTATTTATGTTCTAAACGTGAAATCAGGTCCTTTATCAAAGGTACTTAAGTTGATCAGGTAAAATCTCTTCGATTTCTTGGGAGAATTTTAAATGACAGTTTAGCCCTTCGTGGGCATTATGAGAAAGCCTTCAAAGACTGTCAATCTGGATGTACCCTCATCAAACTCATGACTAACAATCAGTTAGGCTTGCCTTCCAAAAATGCTTTCACTGTATACAAATCTTTAGTCAGGTCCAAAACTGAATTTGCACATTCTATGTATTGCAATTTGTGTAAAACATTTTCTCTTTTGTATTCAGATTTTTCTCTACACTGTAGGGTCCACTCTCATGTAAACATATAGTAGTCGGTAACCAAAAAGAAACAAAAACAACCAATAAAATATAAAGACATCAGAAAATATCTAAAAAGATGTAAAGACGGAGCGGATAACATTTAGTCTATAAGGTTTAGTACGTAGTTCTAGTTATTATTAATTTGAAATTTAAATTCATCATGTTAAAAATGTACTTGTTTCTGGTAATTTTGAGGCACTGGCACACTTGTTTCTGGTAATTTTCAGACACTTGTACACTTGTTTCTGGTAATTTTCAGAGATATAAATGCCACTGACGGTTCCGTCAGACATAATGTATCTGGCTTCTTGGTCGTGAAACATCTATCTAAAACAGTACATCGAGTTAAAGTGGAAGACGAACTTTCCCTGACTTTTATTGAGTGCTCGCCATTCGACATGCTATTAAGGTTGCTATTTCCGATGGTATCAGAAGGTTTGTTATTTTTTCTGACAGCAGATCAGCTCTACTTCTAATAAATAAAAGAGGTGCAGAGAATCAATATGTGTTTGATATTCGTAAGATGTTGCATGCATCTTAAGTGGATGACTGTCACCTCGTTTGGGTACCTGGCCACTGCGGCTTTTTTTTTAATGCAAAAGCCGACTTTTATGCAGGGAGAGCTCGTGTTGATGGGACAATTTTGTCCACCAAATACACTCCCAATGAAGCAATTCGGGCAATTCGCAATTACATCCTTCAACAGCTAAACGACAAATTTAAACAAATCGCGCGCGTTAAATCCAATGGCCTTTTCTATAAATTAAATCCCACATTTCAATTCAAACCCTTTTCTGTATCTTCTTTTAATTCCTGAGAAATCAAAAAATTTACAGCAAAAAATTTACGTCATCTCGGGGAACTAACTTGCTTTATTAGAAAAGCTAATTTATCCTTTTAGAATTTTTTTTTCCTCTTCTTTCCTTTTTTTTTTTTTGCATTCAATCATCTATTACCACAGCACCCCTTTCCGTTCTCAGCCGAAGTTTGCAACACTGTTTGATTTTCAAGAACTAATCAAGCATAATTACAATATGCTGGCTCCAGTTATTACGACCGCTCTTTTTTTTGTTACATTTTGTACATAATGGTGACCAAAAATTACGACAGTTTATTATCTGGACATATAAGTCGCAAATCTATTGGCCTAGCCCATCTCCATTCAACATACCAAGAAAAAAAAAAAAAAATTTCCCTCAAATGCAGAAATTTCATTGCAATTTGAAGACCTCCGTCGTTTGTTGATCTTGTTTCACACGACTTTCATTAACGTGCTTCTGTAAATTGTTTTGGAAAAAAAGTTTCAAATTGAGTGCCCTTGATTTTTGTAATACTTCCTGAATTGAGCTATGGGTTTTAATATAATAACGAAAAGTGAAAAAGTTTAAAAATTGTTAGTCTTCCATCATTTAAAACGGAGAGCGCTTCCAACGAAGACACGTTTCAAAACAGCATCACGTCTGCTGTCGCTTGTCGAGTCGCAGATGATGTTACAGTTTTCAGTCGCAATATGTAATCAATGGCGGAGTGAGTGCAGGGAATTAATTATAGTTCTTGTTGAGAAAACGATTGGGAGGATGAGGCAAAAAGCAAAGATACTATACATTTTTTATGTGATCCTGTTTGTATTGTCATGTTTGCGTTTAAATTTAAATAAATAAAATTTTAGTTTGAATTTTTAGGACTACACGCGTTTGTAAATAATGTGTGGGTTGTCTATCGAAAGCCGAGTGCTGATCATTGCAATTGATGATTACCGAAAGGGCTAAACGGCATAATGTTTTGTTAAAGTCAGTGGAGAAAATAGCAATAAGTTTTTTATTAACTGGAGAGTAGTTAATTATTGGAATCTGAATTTTTTCTTTTCTCTTTGTGGAGATTCGCAGTGTTCCGTCAGTTCCGCTTCGGCGTCATATCGCAATTTTTTTCCAATTTTCTTTATATATTAAATCAAAATAACAAATAAACGAAAAGTAAAACACCCCGCCCAATACCAGCCAGACATTCAAAGAAATCAAAATAATCAAAGGTAAAGTCACCAACGGAGGAGAAAACGCGCCTTGGTCTTCCAATTATAAAATAGTTTTGGTAAGAAAATTTTGTAAACCGTAACTGTTACAACCAGATTCATTCGTTTGTAATATATTGTGTGATTTGTCGAAACAAAAACACAAAATGTTTGTTAAAGGAATATAATTTCTGTACCCTGAATTCCTTTCCTTTCTCATCACATAATTCACCCAGTTATTGATATTTGGGGTACATGCCAAGCAGGCCACTTTTCTTTCGAGAGAGGGTATATCTTCTCTAGGCAAATAGACAACGCCAAACAGCAATTTATTATTCTGGAGACTTAGCTAAATGAAAACCGAAAGACAGGTCCTCTCCTTCATGACTCAAAAAACAGACTTAAAATACAGTTTACAGCACATGTACGGGGCAACTCCTGTCCCTCTGAACGCTAGACAGTCATTTCTAGACAAATTATATCCTGACAAATCTACATCGGCGTCAAAACTATAGTCTTCCACCTAAGATTCATTTACGGCGTAAATATAAAAAAAAATGACTCGAAAAACTAACAAAGCTTCAGATGTGAAAGATTAAAGCCATTGTATTGGAGGCAGATCCGAAAGAGTTTTTTGCTGGCAGTTAGCCAAAGATTCGTACCTAGCGGCAGTGTCATGCTAACTTCTGAGCATTATAAGAAATACACCACGGATTCTCACACCGTGCGCTATATATAATATGTATGATAAAATTGGTGATTATTTAAAAAGCTTCGAATGATCGAATCATACCATAATGAGTCTCAAAGGCGTACAATCAGAAATAAGTCCCATATCTTGGACAGGAAACGTTTTATAATTTGTGTTCGTTTTGTTATCCAAACAAGATATGTAAACTACAATTATACATGGACCATATATTTTTGTTTTCGAATGGTGTAAAAATAAAAAAATCTTCAAATATAAAACCACCATTTTCATAAGAAAGGCTAACCAAACAACGAAAGGCTAAACTTCTGTAATATTGGGTGGGGATGGCAACTTATTTCTATTTTTCTAGAAGCTTTTATTATGTGTCTATTGTAGTTTGTAAGCAACGACAAAAAATCGAGGAAGCAGAGGTGTACCTACTTTATGTCAAATGTAGGCAATGTATTTTCAACACCAGCCTGCGTGTAAGAACCTCCAAAGTTTCTGCCAAATTTGAAGCCGATATCTTCATTTTTGCAGTCGTGAAGATGTTTACGGTGAGCCACACATTGTGGTCGGATTCGTTAGAAAAGTTTTGACACCATGAACAACTGCAAATTCACAAAAAAAAACAAAAAATAAAAAGAAAAGGTTTGGAAACGCTTTGTAAAATAATCAAAATATTTAAGTTACAAGTTGAAATAAATTTCAAAGTTTGAACGTGACCCGATAAGGTTTAAATATTCTGACATGTTAGGTTTAAGCAACTTAACAATAAGCCCTTTGTCCCATATGTTAGAAGAGTTTTTTTTTTTTTTGAAGTAAAGTTCAACGTTAGTTTTCTTTGGAGGAATTTTTTAACAGTTGAGGAAGGGTTAATCCGAGTATCGAGCTTGATTGATATTTTTATTAATATATTATACCGCGATTGTATCGTTCTTACCGAAGGAGTGTAGTATACAAAGAAATAAAATGAAATGAGCACATACCAGAGTTTGGTTATTTGCTAGACGGAAAACCCCAAATATGTAGTTTTAAATTAAATATTATAACAGCAGGAATCAAAAATTGGAATAAAGATTTCAATAAAATGAGTAAAAAAATAACAGCAAAGATAAATGAATAGCTTTTAAGAGCCTTTAAAAATAAGAGTGAAGCGAACAGTAATTTTTTTAATTACATTTTTTTTTTTAATTACATGTTCTTATAAACGTCTGTTTTGAATTCAAGCTTAAAGAACTTAAAACCTTAAAAGTCTTACAAAAGCGAAATAAAACTTGGTTAAATAATTAATTAAATCTTTCTCAAACATCTTTCTCACAAAATTTATGAAGAATACTCATTTCACTTCTTTTTTCAAAGCACCATCATACCTTCTAGATATTTCGCAAAACCGGCTTAGCTAATTTTGTTTTTAAATACAATTAAGAACTATTAAAAATATAATTAAAGCTTACCTCATTTGTTATTAAACTTAGCTCGGTATGGTCCTTTGCGTCATATGAACATAATACGCGAGCTCTTTTCATTTCATCAGTTGTAACAGTCACTGGTTTTAGATGTTTATTTGTGTGTTCCACATATGTTTCATGGCTCAAAGACCGATATTCAACGTTTTCATCTCTCACATCAATGACCTCAGACGGATTAGAAACTCCCAAACTTGAATGAGAAAATATATTTTACTATTAGTAAATTCTCTTTCTGCAGTTTTAATTTAAAAATTTGTTGTGAACGCTGTTCTTATCTTAACCAAAAAAGCTGACAGAAATCCTTATGTTAGCATACGTCTATAATAAGACGATAATGGCGTGTGCCTAGATAAAGGTATGGAAAATTTTACGTTCACTGATTTTCGAAATCGGTTGTTATATGTTTAAAACATTTCCATTAGTATCTGATTTGTGATGTACTACTCTCTTAAACGTAGCCCTTCTTATGTCTTTTAATTATCCCAAACCCCGAAGTATATTTTTAACTAGCCAGTATATCTATTTTTGGGAAATTGCAGTATTTGGTTTTGATTCATTGCTTAAAGGTTTGAATAACAAAAAAATAATCAATTTTACGGTGCATCTGAGATTGTATATATGTCATGTCTAATATCGAGAAAAACGTACTTGACTAGTTCTTTTTGTAAATTATTCATAACTTCATTGCATTGCTTGTAATATCGTAATTGAATTTGTACGAAGGCGCACAAGTGCTTCAAATGATTTTCATGTGATGAATTTAGTCCTTGTAAAAGCGATTTTGTGATATCAGATTGACGATCAAATTCCGATTGCGCTACACGCAAATCACGTTCGGCCTGTAATGATACGAGACAAATAAACATTGATTAAACAAATTAATTCTAATATTTTATCAAAAATACCAAGTAATAAATACCTGTTCTAAAGCCGCTTCAGGAGAAAGGCCATCCTTCTAGAAGTTTCAAAGGCAACAAAATGTTTAAATCAAGTAACAAATTAAAATTTATTTAGTGCCTCAGTGATAAAAGTACGGTTTAATATATTTCGAATGACTTTTTACGTAATTTGCTCTTGTAGCTTTTAAGTTATTTACAAACATGGCTGTGCAGCAAAACTTTATAACCAAATGCGTTCAATTTTCCAAGTAATCAGGACTGAGATCAAAATTTTTGCGTCGTCAAATCACCATTTTTTAACAAAGAAAAATACCCGCAGAAAAAAATAATACATATGTGTCATGGAATGTCTAGACCTTGCCTGCAGGCCCTGGACCGCTTACAGCGAAGAGCTCAGATGCTCTTCAGCGAGAAGAGCGTGTCCAAAACTCTCGATACTCTTCGCAATAAGCGAAATATACGCTGGGTTGTGCTCATATATAGTTACACACAGGCCAATTGTTATAGAAAAAAGGGAGACTACTACTTTCTCAGCGTTTTCAACCGCTCATGCTAGAACTGCACAACACACTACCATGATTTGTCGTTTTTTAACCGCTCTGCCTGTCTTTAGAATAACCAACCCACAGTGGTCTTTCACACCGTACCAAATGCCTCCACTTTCATGTTGATCGTACACAAACGCTATTCCCTCCATTCCTTTCTCTGTAGGCCTATAATCCTTAAAGATCATTACAGTGCCAAAAAAAATACGTTCTTGCAGTTTAAAATTCGGAGCTATAGTTTGAAAAAAGTTGTTAAGTGCTGCAACACTAGACGAAATCAGTCCCAGACTGCAGTAGAAAGAGTGAAGTAGAGTTTTTAAATATAAATTAAATCAATACGGCAGGTTTTTCTAATAAGAAATTTTTATCTAATCTCAAGAATAGGTTCGGCATCTAAAACAATAATAATGCGCTTTTAAAATAATATACAAAGCGCCTTTATATATGTTATTGCCAACTATTGCTTGTTGTAATATAACCGTTATGGTAAAAAAAAGTCAAATCAATACGAAAAAAACGAACGCTTATGAAATTCATTCATATATTAAAGACGAGTAATTTGATCTATTAAAATAAGAGGGACAAAAAAGAAGGATAGTGGTGGAAGAAACATTGATATTGAGAAATTTCTCAACTTATCGTTTCGAATATGAAGGAAAAAGGCAAAAGAATCCGAATAATAAACAGATTTATCTATAAAAAAATTAAGAATTCGTGTAAAATTTCCTGTCGAGGTGTGCTTCGCGAATTTGTTGTCAGAATTTTCATTATATCCTACGAAGCTTCAATCATTATATCAAATTTATCATATACATTTCAACAAAAAATCTAAACGCTACGATTGTGCCTTTCACTTTGAATTCAAAATGCATGTTAAAAATCCTTTCGTGAGATCTCTGTGAATATGGACTCAATCTTCGCCAAATTACACAACAACAATGGTAACAGTCAAATCGAGTGATAGTCCTCGGTGCCTAGAAATTGAACGAAGATCAACATTTGCAACAAAAAAACTCGTATCTGTGATTGCTTTCTTTGACCAAAAGTGCCTTACAACCTCCAACGATGCAGTGTATTTAATTAATTTGGCGTTAAGGTAATTTCTACCTACTGGAGGGAAAGCAACCTAAAAAATCGTCATGCCGGTGCAACAAACATGCTACTTAGAATGAAATGATTTGGCTTCTATACGCCCAATTAACACCCACGTTTAATAGAATGGTGACTATCGTAAAGGCGCTATTCCAACGCAATCTGCCATGAATAGGTGGCACCGATAGTAAGCGCCGTTTTGAGAAGTCAACTTTAGTTTAAAATGCTCCCTGTAATAAAAGTATTTATATATGAAAAGAACATTTTGACAAGCAATTTCTGAATGCCACTTGATTCTATCTGTTCGAATCCATCTCGCCCTATTCCATTCGCGATTTCAACTATGTTTGCAGTAAAAGTTGGAACTTGCACAGATTCTTCGTCATTTTCCGCAGTCATGGCAGGCCACAGTTTTTTCCAGCATGACTTCAATGTGGGTGGCTTCAGTTCTTCCAATGATTCTTTTATGTTTACGATGCATTTTGCTTTGTCAAATTTCTTCCTACGTTCCATAACGCTCATATCAGGATTACGTGCCATATTATCCAATATGATTTTGAAGGTTCGCTTAAAGGCCTGGATTAATCCGCGAATTAAGAAATTTATAGCCGTGAATACAGGAATTGGGTCGCATTTTTTTAATCCGCGAATAGTGAAAACGCGAATGAAGGAAGCGCGAATAAAGAGCTTTTACTGTACATTTAATAGGAACCGTATGCATAAAAACAATATAACAGCTGCTTGCATGTATTTTTATCAGAGATATCCGTTGGTGAACATGATAAAATAATGTAAAGTATTCAATGTACACAACGGTTAAATTCGATGATTTTGACTTTTCGCTACATAAAAAAACATTTTTCCATTCAGAATTATTGAAGCTCATTAAACAGTTTTTAAAGCTTATGGTGATGCTGCTCCATTATATCCCGATTGTTGGTTTTAGTGATTTTGATGTCAATGAGAAAGAAAGGCTTGGAGGACAAAAAAATTCGACGGCAAAGAATTGGAAGACTTATTGAACGAAGACCTAGTTCAAACTCTCAAAAAATCAACTGAGAAGAATCGATTGGGAAGATCTAAAAGAAGACAAGTGGCTACCATACGAACTGACTTAAAATACCATTTCGAACCGTTTCAACATCGGGGTTCCATTGCTTGCCAGGCAAAAAAAGGCGAGTTTTTTACGACGTATTGTGACTGGCGATGAAAAGTGGGTCCACTACAATAATCCCAAGGAATCGGAAAGTGTATTACGAGCTGTTAAAACCGAATGAAACCGTTACCGTAGCTGTGCACTGACATCAATTGAACAAATTTAGCAAGGTGTTGTTGCAAAATAGATCGCAATAGCGACTAACAGACCCAAAGTTATCCTCTTGCATCACATTGCTCGGCCACACGTTGCAAGAATTGTCAATGGTCCCGTCAGTCAAAGGTCAAACGTAACTAATATTAAAAAATTATAAAAGATAACTTTTAATATTTGCATAATGTTACATTTTTTCTGAAAATGTACATCTTTTAATTTTCATTTCAATAAACATACCATCTGCTGGCCTAACATACTTCGAGCTTTTTTAACGCGGCTTTTGCATGCGTCTAAATCGAGCCTGCAAAGAAGAAATTTTTTACAGGAAATTAATTTTTTATAAAACTTTTAGATGTAAGAGTTAAGCTTAAAAGTAGCCATTTCCGTGTTGAAAAAGGCGAGAAATTAGTAGAGTATTGTAACCTAACCATTTGTATTACATAAATAAAGTGTGTCAAGGAATTAAATAAACAAAATAACAGAAATAAATAAAGAAGAAAATAAAATTGATGATACACTTCAAAAGTGTCGAATTGCATTACCAGCCATATTAACAAAACGTAAAAATAATGCAATTCATTATAGGCCTTTAACCTACAAACTTACGAACATACACACACGAACATATGCACGTATCATTGGATCTAGTTTATTTTTTATTTATTTTAATTTTTATTAGATTACTTTTTGACTATCTAGGTTATTAATTTGCAAACAGTTAGCGTAACATCAAATTTACTTGTAAGAGAAACAACTTATAAGACGAGATTATTTTCAGTCACATTTTAAATTGCGATAATCATTTCATTCGACCTTAAGCCCGCATCTAGTTTGGTTAGAAGATTTACCTCCGGTAAATTACAATAGCTTAGGCTTTCTAAAGGCGACCGAGGCAATCAAAGCGATTGCACACAAAAGATCTCCGGCTTGCTTTTCTTTTATATTATTTTAATAATCGTAGGATAATCGTTTTCATTAAAATAGAATTTATTCAGTTTGTTTAACTTGTTTGCTTTACTTTGCGTATTTTTATCATTTAACAGAAGCTTACTTATATCCTGCTCGAATTTAATCGTAGCAGAAAACAAATCCCGCCTTGTCCACCTTGTCGTAATGCAGACAAGCGTATCTGCTACGCAATCCCTTAGTTATCGTCGCGCGTCAGCGTAATTTCTTCTATCAAATTTACAGCACTCTATCTTTATATTCCACTTTCACTCTGCTTATTTTTTTTCCTTTAAGATAAGAGATTCCTTAAGCAGACTGTGTTTCCTTAAGAACAGCCTTTTGGATGCAATCAAATATTTTATAACAACTCCTCTTTGACAACGAGTACTTTTTCTATAATATTTTCCTTATTCCCGCTTTACTATTTTGCAACAACATTAGCAAGTTTTAATGAATCGACTTCCTTTGATATTCATGCATATTTTCCAGAAAACCTTTACTATATTGGCCGTGACGATAACTACAAACCAATACTCAATCAACTATTTTATTAAAACAGCCGCAAATGAAGGGTGTAGATGGCGTACACCGTCTTAAACGACATTGCTTTGCTAGCAATTTCTACTTATAATAATCACTAAAGGATACAGTTTTACTAGCTGTAAATAGTCTTCTTAACCGGAGTATTAGTCAGTGTTTTCCTGAAGGTAACTTTCGAAAAAATTTAAGTAGAATTAAGTAGAAGATTTGGATCGTCGTGTTTTTGATTAATGATTTATATATTATTTCAAGAAAATGCTGATACACTATTACGATTGTATATCTTTGCGGAAAGGGCGGAAACCAGCAGAGCGATGTTGTGACTCGCGAGCCGATTGTTATTATTAACAATTTACTGAACTTAATTTTTCCCGTCTACCGTAGTTCTATAAAAACACGTTTTATATTACAATGCCGACCTTATGGGCCAGTTATTAGTCCCAAAATGTCTCTTTAATTAATTTTATTATCGGTACCAGTCTAGAGACTCATTTAGGCACAGCTGTTAAGATGAGCCAGCCATCCCCTATCCAAGAATAAAAGGAGCAAAGCTTTATTTTGTCGATTAGCAACTTACCACTTTGGCTGCCGTAGCAAAACTGAGATATCGAGAATATTGCGCCTCGAGCTTTTATAGCTGCGATCACCATCTCTGTACCGTTACAATGTTGCTTAAAGTTATGCCTGTGCCTGTTAGAAGCTGATAAGCATATTATCCTATTAATGTGTTATAATAGGTATATTAACTAGTACAAGAATGCGCTTCTTGGTCGCTAAAATTTAGTTTGTACGCAATATAAGTGCATGAGTGGAAAACCAGTTTTGATGAGACCAATGTGTTCATGTTATGTACATGTAGGCTATGGATATATGAGTGAACATGCTTGGATAGGTAACACGCGATTTTTGACAGTTTCTAGAAATATAATTAAGAGTATAGGTATACACAATATTTTTGTATGTAATGTATATATATATAATGTTTTCGGACTATATTGCATTGACACTTCACCATAAGATCATATATATGTGTATAATATTTTTCTCAATAGCATGCATATTGCTGAGAAATTAGCATAGATGCATATACAAGAAACTTAAGGCGCAATTGAATAAATGTTACAAAATAAAGATATATTGATATATAATGATGAGAAACGAAGAGTATTTGTATTAAAATCACAATTCAGAGCATGTAAAGAGTCAACAGAGATAAGATGTTTGTTTATACCCTAAAGCATCCAAACCAATGACTTAATATGTATGATCAAAGTGGACAGAGGTATGTTTATAAACAACGCTTTTATACGGAGAATCAATTAGAAAATGTGCATTTGAAATAAACAAAGATAACGGTCTACGCTTTAATATACACTCATAAAGTACTTGACAAACGAATCGGACAGATAAGCAAATTACCTTAAGGAATTATATGTTCAGGACTACGGATGACGGTTACCTGGGATTATATACAATTGCACGGCCTAACATGTTTCTAGTAAGGGAGCAAAACGCGTCCTTACATGTCTAATTTTCATTTACCTGAAAAACAGATTTCAGGGGGCTGGCACAATGATGCATTATTTAATTTCCGGTTTAAAGGCCGCAAGTGGACTACCATATTATTTGATCGATTACGTAAAATGAATCGCATAATTTAAATCAAACTTAAATTAACATAAAATAAGCTAACTTCTACTTTAAAACAGATAATCTTCGTTTTTGATTTTCATTTCATTTGTTTGCAAGCACGGTGTAATGATATTGTCGAAGATTTGTGTAAAGTGTTTAAAGTGGTAATTCCTAAGTAACAGAGGATTCGGTATGAATCCAATGTTAGTGTATACCCTTGTATCTGCTCGCCTACTGCGCCAAGTCAAGCTCTCTTTAGCTGCCAAAGTAGATTCGGCAATGAGTGTCGCCATCGAATTTAAAGAATTGGATTGGTGATGTTCTTTTAGTTCATAAGACGCCAAGGCAAGCTCGGCTAGCACTTTCAAATTAAATTAATTTTTTGGTTGCTTATATACTGGGATTTTAGTATAAGTTTGTTTACAAGTTTTTGTTCACTCGAAATATGGAACGCTGTGAATGGCATTTATTCAATTTAGGGCGCCTAGTGTAGTGTTATGCTTTGAACGCAAGTACAGTTCAGCGTTTTCGCGAGAATGCCGTTTGTTTTGTTTATTTTTCTTTTGTATTGTACTTTTGTATTGTACAAAACCAATTGGCTTTGCCAATTACTTCAAAGTCTCATAAAAGGTTGCAAAAGTTGGTGTCACCGTCTCGAAAATAGAAACAGCGCAAACAGCACAACGAATGAAGAAGCCTAAGTAGCTATTGGTTGAAACTTTGGTTTGAAACTTTCAACGTTGAAAAAAAAAAACTAAACTAAAGAAAATATATGACACTTATCAATCTATCTGACGGCTACTAACTTTTTTCGTTTATGTTTCATTAACACGAAAATAACTTTCCAAATCAAAGCGTTTTCTTGACGTTCCTTATAGCTATAGTGTTTTCAGACATTATCTCCGGCATATCTTTAAGCAAACATTGTTTACGTAACGCCACACGCTATGCGAGCAACGTGTGTTAACCTTTTTTCATTGTTTTTCTATATCATAGTTCACTACAATTCGTCTTCAACACTCTACGTCATCACTCTTAAAAACAAATGTCTAAGAAAGGCAGTTTTTTTCGAGAATGCTCACTATCCACCACGACGATCAAATGAAATCCACAATTTATTCGTCATTCTATATCACAATCCAAACCTTGCTTTCCTCACATCGTATTCTTTTCTTTGCTTTTTACTACTTTATTTTCTATCATTTTTTTCTTGTTTTCTAGAACATAAGCTGTAAAACATATTCCCATTTACTTAACACGGGTAAACGTCTGTGAATGGTTTTGTATATGGATGGTTAATAAAAATTTATAAACGTCTATTTTTTCCATATACATATTTTTGCCCACAGTTGTAAGCATCAATAGGATTTTATTGATCTAAAGTTTTTGGTGTTGACTTTTCTTTAAAATGAACTTATTACGGTAATGTTACTCACTGTCAAGCAAGATCGAAATGCTTACTAAAGCTCGTTGTTTCTTTTTTTGCTTTTTTAGAATCCCAAATGACTGACTGGGGTATAGATCTCCAAAATTGTGCAGCATTATAATTCCGATTTTTGATGTTGTTATCGTGAATTCTTTTGACTTCTATTTGTCCGCGAGATTTGTTTGGCAAATCTTACAAATTTGATAGCAACTGAGTATATAGCCATTTCCTTTTCGAGCGTCGCAAAGAAAATATCCATATAGAAATAAGCTATTTTACTTTTCAAAGTTGCAGTGCATACATACCCACAATTGAGATTTTATATTGTTTGTAGTAATATGATTAAATATTTGTTCATTACTTTGTACATTAATATTAATATAAACTGATGAGAGGGGTTTAAAAAATATTGCACAGTATATTGATTTACATCATATGCTGTCTTTTGGGTTGTTATTTGGCGCGGAGGTAGAAATAATATATGCGATTGCGAACGAAAAAGTAAAGGTTGAAAATCACAGGTTGGGTGTCGTTTGCCACACTTGATTTGATTAGTGGGGATTAAGAGCATTGCTCTCATTGTTAGGAAAGGTAACTTTAACTTGAGAGTACACGACTTCACTCTCTCTTTTTGGAAGTAGGTGTGCATCAACTAATAAGACAGTGTATTAAGAAGAACCGACGGCGGTGTCATTCATAATGGTCGTCTTTTCGTAAAGGAATGTTGAGGATGCAAGCAATATAGAGTGGCTATT